AGTTTCAAGTGGTAGAATATCTTGCTACTATACCTGAGTTTTATTCATTAAGTGTTGAATCTGTGCGAGTTTTTCTTCATCATTTATCCGCATCAAATGTTTCATGTTGTTTCTAGGAGCTCGATCCACCTCCTTGGCTTAATCGAATGCGAGAACTAGGATATCCACCTGGCTATTTAGGTAAGAATTGTGTTTCTAAAAGAAAAATAAATGTAATATATTTATTTATTTATAACTTTGAAAAGCAACTTAGTTTTTTTTTTATTTGCTGACAGACGTTGACCTGGAGGATCAGCCTTCAGGGATTACAATTTTTGGAGAAGAGACGAACGAGAAGGAAGGCGAAATCCTTGGCGTGGGCCCCATCGAGCCCTCCAAGACAAAGGCAGTCGAGTTCCCTGGAATAAATGCTCCAATTCCCAAAAATGCCCACGAGTGGCTCTGGGCACAAAACCCTACAAACTCCTCGAATCTTTCCGAACACCGTTCCCAACGCAGGCATCATAACCACTCACCGTACGAAAATCTCAACAGAAACGAGCGGAGATGGTCAGGGGTCTACTTGGATGACGATGGGCCCCCAGGCTGCGAGCCTTGGACTAGCCCATCTCTTTCGAATCACTTCCCTAGATACGGTGATTACGAGTATGGGCTCAGCCCGCTTCTTTCGAATCACTTCCCTAGATACAATGATTACGAATATGGGCTCAGCCCACGGGCCAGCCCGCTTATTTCGGATCACTTCCCTAGATATGGTGATTATGAGTATGGGCTCAGCCCGAATGTTTCATGGAGCTCAAGCTATGGCAGGTCGTGGTCGGACAGGGGTATGAGGAGTCCCCCGCTGATGCATGATGGTCCCCTGAGCCATGGGCAATATGGTAATTTCCTGCATAACTCTCCCTGGTAAAGGTTTTATTTCGTTTTTTTTTTTGAGTTTTTGGGTAACAGCGACTGGTTGTCGAGTTCTGGGTTGTGAGATGAGGATATTTTGTTGTTGCCTTTTTTGTTAGAAGCACGAAGGGCCAAAAGTTGCTGGAACCGACCATTTAGTTTTTTTTGCTCTTTTATGAACGCATAGGACTTGTGGATATGGGTTTTCGGTTCTGGTTGATTGTGTAGCTTCTTTTAAGACTGTTCTAAACCAGAAAATATGGGATTGCATTGATATGCATTGTCTGATGAAATGAAAATTTTGTATATTAGACATGGCCAAAGGGTTGCCCGACCCGGCCCGGACCCGGCACGGACCTGGCCCGGTCAAACCCGTTGACCACGGGTCCAGGACCGGCCCGGATTTCAGAAGGGCCGTGTAAGGGTCATTCGTTTCATGACTCGGCCCAGAGGGTCAGGGCCGGGCCGGGTCGATGACCTTTCTTTTTAATTTTTTTGTTATTTTTTTATACTTTTTTTTAAAAAAAGCACGGACCCGGCTCGGACCCGGCACGGCCCGGACACGACCTGGCCCGGACACGATCCGGCCCGGACACGGACCCGACACGAGTATAGATCCGTGCCGGTGTAGGGTTAGTGTTTTTGAGCCCGGCGACCCGGCCCGGGTTTTGGCCATATCTAATGTATATTATGGAATGTCAGGAATAATTTCATCAAGTCATGGAAGAAGTATGTGGTAGGATGAGCTACTGTTAGTTTTAGTTTTTTTCCTAGAAAGAAAAGTGTAGAAAATATTGTTTAAAAAGTAGTAATGGGTTAAATAGACATTGTTTTTTTTTGGGTTAATTGCAGATAAAACCCTAACCTTTTGTTAAATTGCAAGTAAAACTCAACTTTATAAATTTGGTAAAAAAAATACTCACTTTTCATAAGTGTTGCAATTGTGTCTCAACCGCCACCTGCCGCCGCCAACCGCCACCCGCCGCTGGCCAACTTCGCCGGATGTTGAAAATTTTTACATGATCTTGTAGCTCTCCTACGTGCCGACAACATATCCAAGTTTCACGAAAAAATTCCGACGATAAGGAGATGACCGGAAAAGTCGTCACCGGAAAAAGTCACCAGTTTCGGTGAAGGTGGACGTCAATAGATGCAGCTTTGCGAGAGGAGTTCAACGGTACCTTCGGATTCACGTGGGTCAAAGCAAGTCATCGGGAATTTGCGAAAGAGCAGGATAAAATTTGTAGATCTACGAGATTTGACCGGAAAATTGGAAGTCTTATCGTCGGAATTTTTTCGTGAAACTCGGATATGTTGTCGGCACGAAGGAGAGCTACAAGATCATGTAAAAATTTTCAACATCCGGTAAAGTTGGCCGGCGGTGGGTGGCGGTTGACGGCGGCGGGTGGTGGTTGAGACACAATTACAACACTTATGAAAGGTTATTATTTTTTTTGCCAAACTTATAAAGTGGAGTTTTATTTGCAATTTAACAAAAGGTTAGGGTTTTATCTGCAATTAACCTTTTTTTTTTTGTTTTTACCAAATTTAGAATTTCTATACGTATGTAAATTATATATTTTTTTTTTTGGTGGATGAAAACAAGTCTCTTGCATCTAGAGCATAATATCTGCAGCTATAAAATAGTATACCAAATAAGCTTTAAACCTTTAATTCATGAACAGTAAGATATTGTTGTGAACAGAGTATTTCAGGCTTTTAGCAAGGGACCGTCTAGGGTCAGGTATACTTACTTAACATTAGGTATTCCCTTATTTCATCATTAGATTGACTAAAAATTGAAAATCAACGATGGATTCAAGGGTACAAGGCAACCAAGAATGTTGGTAGCCTTGTACTTTGTCTCGTACCCTTTGTACTTGTTAAAAATCTATTATACTCTTACTGTATTTTAAAATTTAAAAATATTCTAGAGCTAATACGTGCAACAAATCCCGACCTCTGGAAAGGATGCATTTATTAGATAAAAGGTCAACACGGGCTTGTTCCGTTGCTGTGATGATTCATGATAACTCGACGGATCGCACGACCTTCGTGCCGGCGACGCATCATTCAAATTTTTGCTCTATCAACTTTTGATTGTAGGATAGAGGTCTACAATGGTGGTGACGGGTGACGGAGAATTAGGGTTCGATTCCGGAGAGGGAGCTTGAGAAACGACTACCACATCCAAGGAAGGCAGCAGGCGCGCAAATTACCCAATCATGACACGGGGAGGTAGAGACAATAAATAACAATACCGGGCTCTTTGAGTCTGGTAATTGGAATGAGTACAATCTAAATCCCTTAACGAGGATCCATTGGAGGGCAAGTCTGGTGCCAGCAGCCGCGGTAATTCCAGCTCCAATAGCGTATATTTAAGTTGTTGCAGTTAAAAAGCTCGTAGTTGGACCTTGGGTTGGGTCGGTCGGTCCGCCTCGCGGTGTACACCGATCGTCTCGTCCCTTCTGCCAGCGATGCGCTCCTGGTCTTAACTGGCCGTGTCGTTCCTCTGACGCTGTTACTTTGAAGAAATTAGAGTGCTCAAAGCAAGCCTACGCTCTGTATACATTAGCATGGGATAACATTATAGGATTTCGGTCCTATTACGTTGGCCTTCGGCATCAGAGTAATGATTAAGAGGGACAGTCGAGGGCATTCGTATTTCATAGTCAGAGGTTAAAGTCTTGGATTTATGAAAGACGAACATCTGCGAAAGCATTTGCCAAGGATGTTTTCATTAATCAAGAACGCAAGTTGGGGACTCGAAGACGATCAGATACCGTCCTAGTCTCAACCATAAACGATGCCGACCAGGGATCGACGGATGTTGCTTTCAGGACTCCGCCGGCACCTTATGAGAAATCAAAGTCTTTGGGTTCCAGGGGGAGTATGGTCGCAAGGCTGAAACTTAAAGGAATTGACGGAAGGACACCACCAGGAGTGGAGCCTGCGGCTTAATTTGACTCAACACGGGGAAACTTACCAGGTCCAGACATAGTAAGGATTGACAGACTGAGAGCTCTTTTTTTTTTTTTTTTTTTTTTTGATCGTTAAATGTAAATATATAGATCAAAATTGAGTTCAGACAACCGGTAAACGGCATACAAAAGCGTAATGGGCAACCACAAGTCGGTTTCTCATTCACAATATAAAGAAATACGAGGCCAACCACAAGTCGGTTGGTCACTCAAAAGTCTCGAGAAACAGAAAGCAAAACAATCCCAGGGTAGCTCGGGGGCTCGTCATAATGGTGTTCTTCGCATCAAACATGCATAGCGATTGGCTCGGGCCATGCACATTAAAACGCGTTGGATCCAGGGTGTAGCGCCGCTAGGCCCAGGCCTAGCGGCACTAAGGTGGACATGGCACAAGACCTCGTGCCAATTCACGCGTGCAAAAAGTCGGGGTTATCGGGTTGACGTGGTGTAGCGGCGCTACCCGGCGTTAGCGGCGCTAGGCACAAAGGTGCATTAGGTTCTGAAGCCCGCTAGGTACCGTAGCGGCGCTAGGCCAGAGACGTTACCGGCGCTAGCTAGCACTAGCGGCGCTAGTACCTGGGATCCATTCTGTCTCGTTCTCGCTAAGCCTCGTAGCGGCGCTAGGACACGGGCTNGCGGCGCTAAGCCCCCCCTCAGCGCCGCTAGCACCTGGAGCACAAAGTTTTTGCACATTTTCCACCAATAACACTTCTTCCTGGGTGATCGGCCACCATTCAACCTCAACTCTCAAAATCCAAACCAATGCAAACTCATAGTCCGAGGCTTCTCCTCTCAAACTCCGCAAGCACATTAGGATAAAGTGCAAAAATGGTGCGATATACATGTGTTTTTACCTTTCGGATCACAAGGCTCGGGGGTTGGTATTCGTTTTCAAAGATCAACCGGTTCCTTGAGTTCCAAATGAAGTACACAGTGGCCGCCAATGCCGCTTTCTTTAACTTGTCTCTCCAACCCGCACCTCTCGCCTCCTTCTTGGTCCATTTGAGGGCACCTTTAAGGGTCAATGGCCTATGTTAGAGGCTAACCCAAGCACGTATTTTGCACCAAATCACGGAGCTAAAGGAACACTCAAAGAAGAGGTGGCTCGAAGATTCATTCACGGCACCGCATAGAGGGCAAATCGGGTCTTCGTCAAGGAATTCAAGGCAGTCTTTTGTTCGGAGTCTATTATGTACCCCTAACCATAGGATGAATGAGTGCTTGGGGGTATTACAAGCCCCCCAAACAACCCCGGTCCATGGCTTTGTGGGTCCTCTAGGCCTTAGGAAGTCATAGCACTTACTAGACCCGTCTTGTTTATCCTGAGAGCTCCAACCACGTAGAAGGGCTTCCGCTCCTCGCTCACTCCCCGCTTTTTCCACCAAGCCTTGTCGGATTCGAAGAGGAACTTGAAGAGAGGTGGGTCTTTCGAACCAATTTGCCAATCCCAAATGGATTTTTCCTGTAAATAGATGTTGTGGACCCATTTATACCAAAGGGTGTCCTTCTTGGCTTGGATGTTCCAAAGCGTCCGAGCGAGCAATGCTTGGTTCCAAGCTTCCAAGTCTCGGAGACCCAATCCACCTTCCGATCGTGGCAAACATAAGCTATCCCAAGCCACGAGAGCACTCTTCGAACCCCAAAGGAACCTTCTACATAGTTGGGTGATTTTAGTTTGAACTATGCCGGGCAAGTGGAATATCCCCATCCAAAAACATACTATACCTTGTATTATCGAGCGAAGGAGCTCCAATCTCCCGGCATAAGAAAGAGTGTGGCCATTCCATCTGCTAAGTATCCCCTCAACTTGCTCAATCATGTCATCAAAGTGCCTTCCGGTTATTCGGTCCGCGGAGAGAGGGACACCGAGATACCGAAAGGGCATAGGGCCGCATTGCAAGTTGGTATCCTCGAGGATTGTAGCCCGAATATCATCCTTGACCGCGGCCAAGTAAATGTTGGACTTTAGTACATTCATCTCTAGCCCCGACTTAGCTTCGAAGTCCTTAAGACAATCCATGAGAATTTTGATTGA